TATAAAAACATCTGGAAAGAATTACAGTTACATTTAGTATTCCTGTCCCTTATAAATTGGAGTCCTAAGATCACTTTGAGTATTGTTCATGTTTATTTTTAAAAGTCAAAGTAAAAAAATAATAGTTCTACCACTATTGCTGATCTGCTGTCTGCCTAGCCTGATAATCCAAGAATATTCCAAAAAATAACCACACCACTGGTAAATATATGATTTTTGGAGTGGCGGGGGAGGAATTACATACAAAAATAAAGACCACAGAGAATTCCATCTTCTGATGGACAATTTCCCATTGAGGCTGGCTGAAGAGATAAACATTAAAATTAATTATTGAATGTTGATCCTAATTATCATTACAATGTATTTCAATATATTTTATGAGAATGCTTGATGAAGTTTTAAAATCAGAAACAACATGATTAACTGTTCATGTGTGGTCCTTAGTCTGGAAATTATACCTAATAAGATTGTAAGGAGTTCAATAGAACAATAAATGTATAGAGTTATATAATATTTAATAATTTCTTTCTGCATTGTAAATTGAGGTAAACATCATAGTTAAAAATGGTGGGACTTTCAATAAAATTTTGTTGGTATTATAACGTAAAATATTCCAATACCATATCTTGTATATGATTTCACCTTATCAAAGTTTGTAATGTTTGGGGCACTGAATGTATCATGGGCCCCATTTCCTAGCTATATTCTAACTGACCAAGTATCTTGACCCTATATTTTTATTGGTTTTATTGGTTTTTGTTTTTAATACTTTTTTACTGTAATATATATTTTTGAATTGCAAGCTGCCAGACTAATTGACTGAAATGGGTGGCCATAAAAATGAAACAAATAAATAAATATTTCATTATTTTTGTTAAAAAGAATCACTGAAATATTGGAATTTCTCTCCAGTCTAACATTTTTAAACATGTCTCTGAGTAGGTTTATACACAGATTTGTTTCAAATATTTTTTTGTGTGAAAATAATGTTTTTTATTTATCTTTGCAATCATTTTAATTTTCAGTAATTGTGAATGATTTAAAGGGAAGGGGCAGAAGTATTCCTTTAGTAACCTGTTCTTTCATTCAAAAATCAAGATATCTGACTCGTTTTCCAGCACCAAGTATCAAAGATAAAAAAATAATGGTTTATAGTCTACCATAAAATGTCATTTTAGCCAATTGATTTTTGAAATGTTTTATAAAGCTTGCACTCGTGAATTGCAGAATTTGCCCTTTTACATTTTTTTCTCATCAGTTTTAGAAACTTATGTTCACCTTGTATGCTCTCCTACCTGTCAAATTTTTCAAAAAGGTTAATAAAAAAGAGAAAGGTATTTAATGGCTTTCAAAATCTTTGAAAAGGTTTTTTGTCAGAGATTGTGAAGGTGAATAAGTAACTATGGATTTGACAGAGAACAGAATTATATCCTATACTTTAAATAAATAAGCTTAGGGAAAATGTACAATAATAACCCTTGAAGTAATATTGTAGATCTTTAATATTAAATATAGACACATATTTAATAAACTAAGATTTGCATGTACTGCTAATTCCTCAAGAGTAGTGGTCTGTTGAAATGGCACAACTTTTTTATTCATTAATAGTCTACTCCAGCTGATAAGGCTGATTATTCTTTTAGTCGTTTGCAATTTGATATATGGCCTAGTTGGTTGAATAGTCTACTTTGATGCAATGCATAGACTCTGGTGTCTTGAAAAGTTAAGGACAATGAAAATTTAGATAAATCAGTAGAATAATGATAAGGAAATATATGGGAGGAATCAAATCAAAATAAATTAGAGTCAATTTTAGTGTTTCATAGCACTAAAAGAAGCCAAAAGTTGTTCACCCTGAAGTCCTTTAGATGATTAAAACTCTTTTAAACTCCATACTAAGATACTGAGGATTCCACAGAAAATTATTGAAATTGCAGGATATGTGATGTACATGGTATAAAATGGGTTTTATTGATAGGTGTTATAAAATATTTGGTGGCTTGCTGTTACATGCGGAGAAATAACTTGATTAAGGAGGAGAGCAAATCTTATAAACTTCTTACTGAAAGCTTTAGCAGATTATACTTACAAATGCCAGCCAGATGGATGTAAAAATAAATGAAAGACTAACTCTGTAACAGATGCGGTAATCAGCAGAGATAAAAAAAATGAGCTTAGTTCATAGCTGTACTTGTATGCATGCAGGATCTCTAGTAAAATTAGTTCTGAGTTTAATCTCCAATTTAAAAGAAATATCTAGTTATTTGGGTGTTAAATTGTCATCAGCCCCAGCTGTTGTATAGAGTTGCAAACAGGTATTCCTTTTGGCCATTTTTTCAAATCAAATTTGTGCTGCACAAGCTTATTCCCAAGCATCCCATTAAATTAGGCAAAAATACATCTATAATAATTCTTTTTCAAAGTGTCCTATGATATGTCATGCAACTTATTCACGGAAAAACATAAACCTGATTGTGGGAGAGCAAGAGATTTATCTCTATCATTGGAGGTTCTGACCAGATGTGGGTTGCTGCCGGTATTACACTGGTTTGGCGCAGAAAAAAGTTTGCTCACTTCACTCGCGCACATGCCAAACTCGCGCTAGGTGCATGCACATTTGCATCTAAAAACGTCTGTGCATGCACAAAATGATTGAAAGGGAAAAAATACATTTCTGTAATGAAAATTGTTCTGTGCATGCGCAGAATTGAAAATCAAGATGGCGGCACCATAGGAGAACCAGTTTGGGGGTGTAGCAGGCCTGTGTCACTGCCAGCCAGCGACTCAGGCCGCAAAGTTACTATTGGTTCGGCTAAACCAGTCCGAACCGGTAGGGACCCACCTCTGTTTTTGATGCTCACACCTTCTCACTTCCATTTTACTTTCCTGCATGTTTAGTCCTTCACCCTCCCCACCCAATCCCAATTGTACCCACAATTCTGATATTTGGGCTGCACTGGACTTAAATGGAAGAATAAAATCCCATTTAAGTCCAGTGTGTTTTACATCACAGAGATTTGGGTGAATAAGGAAGCAAGAAGCATTTCCAGCTAAAACCATACCTCCAAATGAAAATGGAAGCTATTACAGTCTTTGGGTTATGACCATTTGTTCAGGGACTGCCCAAAGATGCAAAGGTGCTGAATGAGAAGGATTTACAACCAGTTCTTTTAGTTGCTAGCTTCCTACAAGGAAAGACAATGGGGAAGCCAGCAGGAGGTTGCAAGTCACTTTCCCCCACACACATTCACCCACCAACTTGTGATGCCTTTGGTGCTCACCTACCCACCTGCCCGCTTATAACTTTTATTCCTCAGCCTGTTTCACTGGATTCCTACCTCTTCCCACATTGCAGTCATGTGAGATCACTTGCTTAACGATGCATGTAGTGCTGAGGTTACAATAGCAACCAGGAATACTGGAGTTACCATTAACAGGCATTCTGATCCCAATTGCCATTGTAAACCAGCAACTACTTTGCATTTTATTGTATTGGGGAAGGATGTGTTGTCAGTGTTAGCTGGTTGGTGTGATGTCAAGCTTGTGTTTCCTGATCAACTTCTCTGACTGCGGTACTTAAATCTTATAAAACTAACTTTTTATAACAATTTCTTTACATGAATTGAACCTAACTGCCTAGATAACATCCCTGTCTGTTCTACAGCAATCTAACTAAGAGCTACAGTTTTAGAATCCAGATTGGATTTCAAAAAACATAGTAATCACTTGAAAGAAATAGCAGTGTAGGGAGATATTAGTTATAATGCATAGGATAGTCATAAAGGACCATATTAGATCTGACTATAATCAGGGTAATTAGTTTTTCATGCTTGCTTTAATGTCACTTAAGTACTGCTAAAAATTCAATAGCTGAAATAATCTTCACATCTGAACTTGTACATTATTTCCCTTTTTTATATTTGTGCATGGTGAGATGTATAATTAAAAAATAATAATTACAAGAACACTGAAAATTTATCCCTATTCACCATTTCCTTTAAATAATGACAATGAAATGTGTGCTGAGGTTTCAGTGTTTAAACAATGAAGACCATGTATGACAACTACTTTTTTTAATTTTTCAACTGTTTGGGTCTTATGTCTCTATGTTGCTACTTCAGCTTTAAGATCATCTTTCAAACCTGTGTAATGGTTACCCTACTTATCCTACGTATTTAAGATGACTGTTTCCTAAGAATAAACCTTGAAAAATAGGGTTAAGTGTCAAAGAAATAACAAATATTTTGATATATATATTTTAGTGCTAGGCAGATATTTTATTACCTCAGGTTATTGTAAGGTACATATTATGTTAATATACTATAATGGGGCCTTTAAAATTGCTTTCATTGCTGTTATTTATAATGTACTGTTTAAATATGATTATGGACTGCATGTTAATTATTTTTACTCATGGAGTCAAGTAGTGCTGTCAAAGGATTATGACTGAGTTATCAAATATAATGGATTAGAAACCCATTACATTTATTTTAAATACTTGTTATAATATTCATAACCTCCTTATTTAAAATTATTTGTTTATGATTTTGAAGTATTTTGTAAGCTACCTAGGAACACTTTTGCTTTGAAAATAGATAGATAGATAGATGATAGATAGATAGATNGTTCTAGTCCTGCCTCAGGTATGAAAGCCAGCTGGGTGATTTTGGGCCAGTCACTCTCTCTTAGTCCAACTCATCCCCCAGAGCTGTTGTTGTGGGAAAAATAGGAAGAGGAAGGAGTATTAGGTATGTTTGCTGCTTTGAATTAGTTACAAAAATAATACATTGAGATTAAAAAGTATTTATAAAACAGAATAAAATATTAGGACAAGAGATTAAGAGAAAATAATATTGTCCATAATGTACTAGGTCATCATCCTAAACAATATCTATAGAATATTAGATTACAGAATCCTTTTTACAGCTCTGTCATCGCACTTTTTTTCTTATCCATTTACATCAGCTAAAACATATCTACTGATATTTACCAAGACTTACCTGAGCAGCACCGCAGCTTCCCACAGATAGAATCCTGAGACAGCAGCACGCAGGTATTTAATGTGGGCCATGGTATGGCGAGGTATTTACAACCTCCTCCCAAAAGAACGTGTCCAAGTCATAAGGGGAGGGGGAGGCTCCTGAGGGATCAGAGAGTTCGGAATGAGATCGCTACGGTAGTAGCAGGAAAAGCTGCCGAGTTTTCAGGACCCTGGAGAGCTCCCTGACAATCGACAGAACCTGTTCGAACCGAGTACGTCTTTTCCCATGGTGATCTATTCGCCGGCGCTTGGGATGTCGTGCATTTTTGGGTTGTTGTTGGCAACCAGCTCGCCGAGGTTTGTATTGTGCATCTAAAGAGAGAGGGTAATCCCAGGGGGCAAGACCAGGCAGCCAATGAAGAGCATCGGGAAAAGGCAAGCAGCAGCAAAGTACACCTACTTGGAGGTTTTTCTCTGTCCCTTCTTTCCTTCTCTATCCAGAAGCCAATTCGCCACATTCCCGAACACTGGCAATAGCAAGGCTAGAAAGGGAAGGAGGCGGAGACAGATTCAAAGAAGTGGACTCCCCACCCCCACCCCAAAGTCAAGAAGCTCTCAGACTGACAGAAGGCTTTGCAAGAGTTGCTTTACTAAAGAGCAGGAAAGAACGAGATGCAAAAATGAGGTGGGGCAGGGACAAAATTGGTACTGTGATCTCCTCAAAGGCATATCCTTTAGCAAAGAAAAGAGAGGAAAGAACTACAGAACTACAGGACAGAACTACTGAAAGGCTCAAAAAGTCTTCCCAAAGACTTTTTTTTTACAGTTTTCATGAACTGATATGCATGCCTAGTATGCTTAACGTAAAAATGGGTCATTCTGGGAATAATTTATCTTGAAATTTATATCAAAGGTTTAGGTGTGGAAGCCTGGAGAAAACCTGTGTTGGGGCAATTTTATCTTGAGCTAAGGGATCTGTGATCTTAGAGTTCTAGAAAAGGAGAATTATTACCAGTCTTTTGTGTGTTTGGAAGACTTGTGGAGAAAGAGATGGATTGAATATCCATTTTTGTCTTTTTTATCTCCCTTTCTGTTTCTCTATGAATGCACTGGAGATTGTAAAACTTTCACTCATAAATTATCAGTATAAATGCTCTGCTAACAAAGCAGCATAAATAGCCTTCTCTGAGGATGCATGTTCTATTTTATTTATTTATGTGCACTAACATACATACAGGCACATCAGTCTAAATGCTAAAACACATATACAAAAATATGTGGGTGATGACAAAATAAGCATTATAATTTCACTCTTTAATGTAATCATTATTTTTACATATAAGCATCATTTTTAATGAAATCATCAACTATCATTTAAGTAGAAATTAGCAAATTCCACCCAAATTTAATTAATATGATTATTATTTTTAGATGCCTAGTGCATTAAAGGTGAAAGCACATTTAGGTTCCTTTTATGTACTTTAAAAAGTCATTGTCTTGTTTTTCTTAGAGATTGATGGGATCACTAATACTTTTCATAGTAGTACTTAAAACTTATATAATGGCATTTTTAATGTAAACATAAAGGGATTCTACTTTGTAAAGTAGTATCGCATTATATATGCATTATTCAGTAGTCTCAAAATGTTGTGCTATATGTAGCAATTTATTTTACTTATTTCACATATTTTGATTTGATGTACCTATTGCTTTTAACAAAGGATTAAAAATATCCATTGCAAGTGAAAAAAGCCATCTTTGAAGAGAATGCTTTATTGTATACTGTAATCATTTTGGTTTGAGATGTTCAGTTAAAGCATGTAAGCATGTTTAGCACTTTTTGAAAACATGTCAAATGTAAAGGTACTTACTTCTATTGTATTATGCAACTATTTGATTTCATTATTTATTCTTTATGCATCTTAGTCATACATTTCTGTAACTAGAATATACTAAACTCTGTACTACCCACAAGTAAAATAACCTATTAAATTATGCTATCTTCAAACACTGGGTTGAACCATATGGTACTCTGGGTTGAAGAGTACCATATATTTTTTTTATTTTTTTAATGAAATTCTTAGAAGCATCCTTTAGGACATGGACCTTCTCTTTCAAGAAAAAAACCTGTGAAACACACCCATCTTAAAATTTTCTAGAATATATATTCAAGAATATTTTTTATCACACATTCTTAAGCAAATATATTTAAAACCTAAAGAAAGCTATATTTAAGAGAAAGTTGGGGGGGGGTGTAGGAAGAATTATTCACTGAGTGCAATAATTCCCTAACAAGAACAAACAGTCTTCTATTTGATGGAAGAATAGCTTACCTTGGGCAATCTCAATGTCAGAATAAACATTATAGAGTAGTAAGAGAATTGCATGTAATTATTATCACCAGACCAGGATATATTGAATGTAGAATGAGGGCTTTAAAATATAGCAGTTTATCATAGGCCATTGTTCCTTAATATTCCAGACATCTTCTCAAACAGCAAAATGCTGAGAAGCATGTCACTCCTTAGAAAAGTTGTATGCTGTAATTTGTTGGTTTCTAACATTCTTTGTTTTTAATGATAATAGCTACTTTAGCTCTGACCTGGAGATGTGGAATGCTGTGGGATGCCTCAGCTTGCGATTCTATCTTTCCTGAAAACTTTACCTATTTGTTTTTTAGACTGTTTCACATAAATATGAAAGGATGTGAATGTATTATTAAACTCTCCCACCTTTTTTTGTTCACATATCCACATACCAAACATAGATTGGTAACAGACATCAGGAACACTAAGAAATTTTAGTTACTGGTATATGTATTGGGAAGGATATGAAGACAAATTTCTATGGTAATTCAAAGCAATTAAGTTAAACTGTCCATAACTGTTTATCATGTATTAGCTGCAAGTTAAGATGAATTTGTGATTAATAATGATAAATATGTCTCAATAAATATTTATTATATATATTTATTCTATCAATAAATAAAAATGCCTAATGTATTGGTTTAATTCTAGTATCATCAACAACTTATGATTATAATGATGCACTAATGTAATGATCAATTGTTTGGTTGCAACCAGAGGTGGTATTCAGCAGGTTCTGACCAGTTTTGGAGAACTGGTAGTGGAAATTTTGAGTAGTTTGGAGAACCAGTAAATACCACTTCTGACTATTCCATCTGTTCTCTGCCTCCTGAGTCCCAGCTGATTGGGAGGGAATGAGGATTTTGCAGTAACCTTCCCCTGCTATGCCCACCAAGCCACGTCCACAGAACCAGTAGTAAAAATTTTGAATCCCACCCTAGTCACAACATAATGTTTCCAAATATTATTTTGAATAATAGCACTATACAAAATAGACACTAATAATCTTAATGATAAGTCACTAGTGCCTATCATTTCCAGGAATAGCTATGGTTATAGTTAAACATAGTGACAAAGAATACATTCAGGGCCAAAACTGGTAGATGTTGGCTAAACCATCCAAATGGTAAACTTGAGGAAAATTTTATTATCACATACTATTTCTTTTATCTGCTGTCCAACTCTCATCTTGTCTGGAATAAACTTCAGCTTTCTAATCTTTATGTAGACATTGATCTGGAGCTTGCACAGCTTTTTGGATTTAGATGAATGGAGAAATAAATATAATCAATCAAAACTCAAATTATCTCTTCTACTAGATTCAGGTGTTTGATAAATAGCACTGGGACAATATGTATAGTAATTTGAAATGCATACTAAGACTGCGAATAAGACTTTCCATTATCGTTTTAGCATAGTCAATCTGCAAAATGTGTGAATTTAATTATTCTCATCTATAAATATGAATAAATAACTAAAGCACATATAATATAAATTATTTAAACACCACCTGTTTGTGAAAGTCATAGACAGAAGAAAATTTATTTAATTAGAAGAAAATTAGTTAAAATAGAAGAAAGATTCCACATTCCAGCATGGCTCTTAACACACACACACACACACACACACACACACACACACACACACACACACATCACACACAGTATTTGTTCATCTATTTTAACTTTATATTAGCTAGTCAGAGCATTCTCTGAGCAGTTGGAGTTGTTATTTTTTTTCCTTTTCAGAGTTTTCATTAAAACAAAGGTTAGCTGATACATATTATGAGAGAAATGCTTTTGGAGCTTGTTCTTCGAGATTCTAAACTATGAACTGCTGTAATAAAGTAAAGAGACATGTAGAATTTATTTTAAATACTTGCTCCATGAGAATCAGAAACATTTTAAAATATCTCACAATTGCACATCATTCAGCAACATTTTTATGAATAAATAGCACCTAGTCATCCAGACACCACCAACTGCTTTAGAAAAATAAAAGCACACCTGTCCACAGACATAAAAGTAAATGCTTATGTTTAAAGGAACACCTATCAAGTAGTTTCAAAATGTCCTTGAACAGCTATGAATCTATTTACATTGAAACAATGAATTCAATAGTTCAAAGTTGTCTGAGAATAGGAATTTCATATAAAATGTGTGAGATTATGCTTCCCGTTGATCTTGAATTATGGGACAGATTATTATTAGCTCTCAGTACTTTTCTTTCTTTCTTTCTTTCTTTCTTTCTTTCTCTCTCCTCCTTCTCTTCCTTCCTTTCTTCTTTCTGTCTCATGCACACAGACACTCTAAAATACTTTATCTTGGTTTAATGTTAGCCCAGGTTGAACATTACAATATTTTGATGAGAGACCACGTTTTCCTCTCTTTTTGTGCATTTGTGTTGTGTGCTTTGCATGTACACACACACACACACACATATGCATTCCCATCAGTTTACTAACATAATAGTACTTCATTACATCTAATAGTAAACTACTAGTCTAATGGTCAGAACTGTCAGGCCTTTCAGCTAGGCCAGGTCAGGAAACAGACAGCATAAAGGTTAATGGAGCTTTATTGCTGTAGCATATAATAAAATAATGTTGACGTCTGACAGAGTAGTGTCCTATCCCTTCTAATACCAAGATAGTAATCTTTCTCACACCATGCTCTATCACAGAGATGAACTGTTTACTTACTGTATTCCTTCCTCAAGACTATCTCTGTACTTTTCTATACCAGCCAATAATTGTGAGAAATTACCCCAAGCCCAAATTAAAATTAGTATTGTATTTTATTTTTAATTTTTTTTAAAGGTGACAAGTACCAGAGTAAAATAATCTCCAATTTTGCATATGAAATAGTTATTGAGGACTTTGAGAAGAAAAACCATTACATGAAGGTGTGCAAGTATGTCAAAGAGGTATATGTGAGTGCTTCCCCTGTGAAAACATCCAATTGAATGCCCAAGAATAGAATGTTTACATATTAGTCAGAGTTTTACAAACTATATACCTCTAGTATATATATATATTCTAATTACAGAAGCATTATGGTGCAACTACAGTAAACCTACTAAATTCAATAGGGCACAATATTCCTCAATTATTAAAAACATTGCATTCAACCCATGTTATACAGTGTATGGACCTGGGAAGATGTGATTTCATATTTCTTCATATCCCTCTGTACTCATAAACAAAGATATTAAGCGAGTTATTCTTTTTCTTCTTGTCCAAATTGACTAGAATTTTGGTAGGCAACAA